AACTTTGTGTATTTGCATTGGTGGTCTGTCTCCCTGATCTCTTTGGGGATCCTATAACTCCGGCACAACAGGGTGGTTTGAAAGAAAATGGCAGCTGGGTGTTGGTGGCGCATGCCTTTAGTCCCAGCACTCAGGAGGCAGAGGCAGGTGGATCTCTGTGAGTTCGAGGCCAGCCTGGTCTACAGAGAGAGTTCCAGGACAACCTCTAAAGCAATTCAGAGAAACCCTGTCTCGAAAAACAAAAACAAAAGAAAGAAAGAAAAGAAAAGAAAGAAAGAATGCGGCCCCCAGAAGCTCATAGGAGATGTGGCCTTGTTAGGGAAAGTGTGTCACTGTGAGGGTGGGCCTTGAGGTCTCCTATGCTCAAGTTATGTCCAGTGTGATACAGTCTCATTCCGCTGCCTGTGGATCAAGATGTAGAACTCTCAGGTCCTTCTCCAGAACCATGTCTCTCTGCACATTGCCATAGATAATGGATTAAACCTCTGAAACTATAAGCCAGACCCAATGAAATGTTTTCCTTTATAAGAGTTGCTGTGGTCATGGTGTCTCTTCAAAGCGACAGAAACCCTAACTAAAACAATTGGCCTGGCCATTGGTCTTTGGGGGGTTGTTGAGGTCCAGACCAAATTAGACTCTAAACTCTAAGAATTCTCTCTCTCTCTCTCTCTCTCTCTACCCCCCTCCCCCGTGTGTGTGTGTGTGTGTGTGGGGGGGTGGTCAGGGCTCAGCCACTACTTATTTTAAAAGCACCTCAGTTGCCTATCTGCTTTGGAACTTCTTACACTGGTCTTTTGATTTTTATATCTGCTTTGTCTTCTGTGTGTTCTCTTTGGGTGAGATGTATTTTCTTTCTTTTTTTTCTTGTAATTTTCATGAGATTTCAGAAGGGAGAGAATTTAAGTAGGTGTGTTTAATCTATCATGTTTAATTGGAAGTCTGCAAACTTGAAAAATCAATTTAATTAAATTTTAATATGAAAGTTTACACATTCACTATATAAATTGAAAGTGCTTTACACTTTCCATTCCTCAGTGACAACTACTGGCCTGTAGCACCAACAGTTTCTTAGTTAAACTTACTGTTTAATTATAGCAACCAAATTATGTTTTTTTTTCCCTCTGCCTCATACATGCTAGGCAAATACATTCATTTGATCTCATCTGGTGTTTGAGATTTATTTATTTTCTGTGGTCCTGGGGATTGAACTCAGGACCCTGGCCATGATAAGCATGTGCCGTATGCCTGGGCTCCACCTCCAGCCCCTTAAAAATTAAATATCACCATCTTTTGCTATACTTTGCTCAACCTTTAAAATTTTGTAAATTACTTACTATCATTATTTTGTATATGTTTGTGTGCCTGTGTGTCTATGAACATGTGTTCATGCCACAGCACACATGTGGGGGTTAGAGTACATCTTGGTGGAACTGAGACTTTCACCAGTATGTAATAAGATGGTGCAACACATATCATCAGTTGTGTATAGCAAAGTACACATTTACTTACTGAGCACTCTCACTGGCCTCATTCTGTTCCAGCTCAATTCTGCTTCTGCCTGACTTTCTCTGTTCCTGGGTTGTTCCCAAACAAACACCTTTCCCCTGGGGAGTTCCATGATCAACTTTTGATTCCCAACCTACAAGTCACCTTTTAGTTTCCTCTTGGACAGAATTAATGCTTCCTTCTTTGTGCCCTATACCACTTGATTCATATGTAACTTTACCAATTCTTGCCCCATCTGGACATTATTGATTAAAAGAAAAGATTTATTTACTAGTTACATAGTGTTCTGCCCGAAGGACACACGAGGGTATCAGATCTCACTACAGGTAGTTGTGAGCGTCAGGGAATTGAACCCAGGGCCTTTGGAAGAACAGCCTGTGCTCTTAACCTCTGAGTCATCTCTCCGGCTTCTATTGCTCTTGCTTTAATGTGTATGAACTGCAAACATGGATTGGTGAGGACGATGTTGGTGGCCACTGTCTCTTCTCTGTATATCTTCTTTTAAAAGTTAGATTTATTCATTTGATTTTATAAGTGTTTCGCCATATGTATATGCAACATATGAGTGCTTGGTGCTCACTAAGGTCAGAAGAGGGCATTGGGATCCCTGGAACTGAAGTTTCAGGAAGTTGCCATGTGGGTGCTGGAAATGAACCTGGGTCTCCTGGAAGTGCTTTTTTATTTTTTTTTTAAGTTTGAAAATATTTTTATTAGTTTAAATTAGGAACAAGCTTGCTTCACATGTCATTCCTTCTCCCGCCCTCCCCCATGTGTCCATGCTGAGAGAGCATCCCTTCATGTGGGATGGTCTCTCAAAGTCGTTTCTTACTTCAGGAAAAAATACTGATCCACTACCAAAGGCCCCATAGGGTGCCAAGGCTTCCTCATTGACATCCACTTTCAGGGGTCTGGATCATTCCTGTGCTGGCCTCCCAGACAGCAGTCTGGGGTTGATGTGTTTCCCCTTGTTCAGGTCAGCTGTTTCTGTGGGTTTCACCAGCCTGGTACCGACCCCTTTGATCTTCATTCCTCCCTCTCTGCAACTGGGTTCAATTCAGTGTGTAGCTGTGGGTGTCTGCCTCTGCTTCCATCATGTTACCAATTAGCTCACGAGATCCTGCCCCTTCCCATTCTCTGGGGTCCATGCATTTTTCTCTTAGAGTCCTTCTTGTTTCCTAGTTCCCTTGGTGATGAGGATTATAGTCTGGTAATTCTTTGCTCTATGTCTAAAATTCATATATGAGTGAGTACATACCATATTTGTCTTTTTGTGACTGGGTTACCTCACTCAGGATGGTTTCTTCTAGTTCCATCCATTTGCCTGTGAATTTCAAGATTCCATTGCTTTTTTCTGCTGAGTAGTACTCCATTGTGTAAATATACCACATTTTTTCAATACATTTTTCAGTTGAGGGGCATTTAGGTTGCTTCCAGGTTCTGGCTATTACAAACAATGCTGCTATTAACATGGTTGAACATATGCCCTTGTAGCAGGAAGTGCTTTTAACTGATGAGCCATCTCTCTAGCCTCTCCAGTCACTTTTCCCCAGTCTTTATGTGGTCTTTCTCTCTTTTCTTAAAGTATCCCCCACTTTTTTTTTTTTTGAGATAGGGTCTCTTTATGTAGTGCTGGCTGTCCTGGAACTCGCTCTGTAGACCAGGCTAGTCTTGGACTCACAGAGATCCACCTGCCTCTGCCCCTTATGTGCTAGGATTAAAGGTGCACCATCACACCCAACTATGTGACTTTTTCTTTATGATGCTTTTCAACTAAGCTAAGTTCTTAAATTTAATACAGTTCAAAATCATCAAGGCTCCCTTTATGATTCGTGCATGTTGCTCTTTTTTTTTTTTTTTTTTTTTTT